TCTGAACAGGCCCCGGGCCACAGCATGGGGCATAGTAGAAGGAAGGAGGGTGATTTACCCTTGTATCTCACGCAGGCTGGCCCAGTTTTGTCTTGTCCTTCACAGAGGGGCTTTGGCTGCATCCAATCCCGTGAACGATTTCTTCTGAACTCTGTCTGCAGAGACATGAATCATTACCTGGAAATGCTCTGGAAGTGCTTGTAATGTGTGACAGAAAGTGGCCTAGAAAAAGCTCCCAGGAGGCCGAGGCAGACGGACCACTTGAGCCCAGGAGTTCAAGACCAGCCTGGGCAACACAGAGAGATCCCCGTATCTACAAAAAATGCACACAAAATTAGCTGGGCATGGTGGCACACAACTATAGTCCCAGCTACTGGGAGACTGAGGTGGGAAGATCACCTGAACCCAGGGAGGTTGAGGCTGTTACCACAGCCTTACCAGCCATGATCACGCCGCTGCACTCCAGCCTGGGCAACAGAGTGAGTCTCCATTTCAAAATAAAATAAAAGGCTCCCAAGGTCAAAGATACGTTAAGCAACCCATTGCTCTGCTCCTGTTGGAATTCCTATTCTCAATTTTGCTGCAAATACCAAGGCCTTTGCTCCAGGAAAAATGAAGGCTGGGTCAGGTGTGTTCTCAGCCTCCTGGCTTAATTGGTTTGTTCTCCTGTAGAGGTGAGGAGAGGACCTGGGTGGCAGGGATTCTGACTGATTCCACATTACCTGGCAAAGCAGCTGTTGAGGGGAAATGTTTAATCCTCACTCTAGTGGGGATCTTCCTTGTCAGCTTCACCCACTCCCTGCATGTTTTGTGGAAATGGCAAACACCACTTTGTTGAGCAATACAAACACTGGCTTCCTATAGCTGCATCTCTGAGAATGGGCTTGAGATAACCCAGCTACCACAATTTCATTTTTGAATTTCAAATACAAATTATATCAGAGCCAAGAGTCCCCTGTGGGAATTTTGGTCCATTTTCAAAGTGGAAAAATAGAAGTCTGCAAGATGACATAACTTGCCTGAGGCCACACAGTCAAATACTTGCCAGCTGGGGATGCAAGGCCAGCATGGAACCCATGTGCCCCCATTCCATTAAGGCTCGCTCTTGGGCAAGCATTTCATATATAAAATTTGGGATTCAGAAGCTCCTCTCCATTTTTAAACTGAAATGGAAGGCCCTGAGTTCTTAAAGGCCTCTCTGTTTATCAGCGTCATTGGACATAATTCTGATCTATGAAAGCAAAACCACAACGAATGGCCCTTTGCATGATGTTCTATGAAGTACCCCAGAGAAAACAAAGCATCAGGTGGAAGCTAGATGTTTTTCAAAAGCACATCTATGTCTAACTTTTCCCTCTTCCCTGTCCTGCTTCTCTCATCCATATATATTCAAGTTTCTCCTGACTGCATTGACTTGATCAATCCCTCATATACATGCCTGTTTTAGGCTCTGTAACTAGGAAACCTGCCCTAAAACTACTCCTCGCTGCTCTCCCTGAATCCACAGTTGACTGCTCCAACCTGTCCTCCACATCACAAATGTGATCATTCTTTACACAGGCTTAGACCCTGGAAATAATTCCCATTGCTATTGGGATAAACAGGAAGCATCACTATGGCCTCCAAGGTCTTTGGCAGAGGTCTGGCTGCTGACCTCCCACTGCTCAGCCCTCAGTCACACTGGCTTGCTTTCTCCCTCTCTTATTCCCAGCTTTCTTCTGCCTCAGCGCCTTTGCACATCTGGTTCTCCTGCTTGGTCTATTTTTCTCTGCCATCATCTCATACCACTGATCCCTGCTCACTCTTCAGCTCTTAGCTCAATCCCTGCCCATGCAGGAATGTACCCAGTGGGCCTTGGGTTAGAAATCCCTCCCTGGCTCACATTAGTTCCTGCCACATCCTCCCATAGCAGTTTGTACCTCTCTCTTAGCATTTCATTGTATTGCTTGTTTTAATGATCTTTGCATTAGACTATAAGCTCCATGAAGGCAAGGACTGTATTATTATTAATCTTCTTTTTTATTAGTTTAACATGCTGACAGATTGTTATTAATAAGTAAATTTATTTTCTTTTTTTGTGCTCCTGTAATATTCCAAGCATGTACTAGTTGTTGGCAATACACACCGTGGGAAATTGATACTGTCCCGGCCCTCTGGGAGTATATAGTGTAGCGGAGAATATAGAAGTAAGTTAAATATACTTCATTTATACTTCATTGTCACAACAGTAACGAGTGCTATGAAAGAAAATTGTGAGGTATTATTATTATTGCTATTTCTTTTTTGAGACAGAGTCGCTCTGTTGACCAGGCTTGAGTGCAGTGGTGCTGTCACAGCTCACTGCAGCCTCAACCTCCTAGGCTCAGGTACTCCTCCCGCCTCAGCCTCCTGAGTAGCTGGGACTACAGGCATGCTCCACCGTGCCCAGATAACCTTTTTTGTATTTTTTGTAGAGATGGAGTTTTACCATGTTGCCCAAGGTGGTCTCGAACTCCTGGGCTCAAGCAATCTGCCCACCACAGCCTCCTGAAGTGCTAGGATTATAGACATGTGCCACTGCATGTGGCCAGTATTACTCTTTTTAAAAAACAGTGATTTTCATTGCCTGTATCAGAAGATAATTTGTAGGGTATTATCTGACTCATCATTTTATTCCCTTTACCAAGCAAGTCTGATATACAATGAATGCTCAATAAAAATTTTGAAGGATTAAATAAACGACCTGGCTATGTCTTTTGTCTCTTTGCCAGATAAACATCTAGTCTTCTGAGAGTCCATCAAAATGAATAGGACATTTTAATGTACCTCCTCAGTAAGAAGAATGATTTTAAATGCCTTAACTGACTGCAAGAAAATCTGTGAGAAGTAACTGCAAAATCATGGCAACACTCCTGCCTTAGACAGAGTTTCTAAAGGAACCAGCTCTCTCAGAGCTTAAGAAGGTTAAACAGGTTATTATGAATTAAACGTTTGCTATAATTTGCATATTTATGATATAGCCGAGTGGTAGTTTTCTTTCATTTATACATATTTGGGGAAACTTTATATAAACAATGTTAATTTTACAGAGCTCAAAGTATAATTTTCAGATTCTGGCTTGTGATATGTTTGTACACATTGACGTATTTTTCTTCTGTCCAGCTGATGTTTAATGCTCAACTGTATTCTAAGGACCGGTGACTGTGCTACAGTTGTTGTTCAATACATTTAACAACACCCATGATTAAAATATAGCGTATTTGCTTTAGAATCCTTTATCCAGAGCCAATTTCAAACAACAAAATTGTTTTTATGTGAAAACATAATCAGCTTTTTATAACGTATTGATCCATGGCATGCTATCTGGGAAGGCATTGTGGCTAAAGTGGCTAAGGCCAGGCACAGTGGCTCACGCCTATAATCCCAGCACTCTGAGAGTCTGGGGTAAAAGGATCACTTGTGTCTGGGCGCGGTGGCTCATGCCTGTAATCCCAGCACTTTGGGAGGCCGAGGCGGGCAGATCACTAGGTCAAGAGATCGAGACCATCCTGGCCAACATGGTGAAACCCCATCTCTACTAAAAATACAAAAATTAGCTGGGCGTGGTGGCGCACAACTGTAGTCCCAGCTACTCAGGAGGCTGAGGCAGGAGAATCGCTTGAACCCAGGAGGTGGAGGTTGCAGTGAGCCGAGATTGTGCCATTGCAATCCAGCCTGGTGACAGAGCAAGACTCCATCTCAAAAAAAAAGGATCACTTGCAGCCAGGAATTTGAGACCAGCCGGGGCAACACAGTCAGACTCCGTCTCTACAAAAAAATTGGATGTAATTGTTCATGCCTGCAGTCCCAGCTTCTTGGGAGTCTGAGGTGGGAGGATCACTTGAGCCCAGGAGTTCCAGGCTAAAGTGAGCTATGATTATACCACCTCATTCTAACCTGGGTGCCAAAGCAAGAACTTAACTCTTAAAAAAAAAGGAAAAAAAATGGCTGACTATATAACTGCTGTATAAGTGTGAATGATCTATAGAGAAAATGCATGTGTTTTACCCACTCCCAGATAAACATATGTTCAGAAACATGTGTGTGTGTAAAAAATATATCACTTAGCTCATCTGAAATATATATTGAAAACATTAGGCAGGCACAGTGACTCATGCCTGTAATCCTAGCACTTTGGGAAGCCAAGGTAAGCAGATCACCTGAAGTCAGGTGTTCAAGACCAGCCTGGCACAAAGTGAAACCTCATCTCTACTAAAAATACAAAAATTAGCTGGGTGTGGTGGTGGGTGCCTGTAATCCCAGTTACTTGGGAGGCTGAGGCAAGAGGATGAACTGAACCCAGGAGGTAGAGGTTGCAGTGAGCCAAGATTGTGCCACTGCACTCCAGCCTGGGTGACAGAGCAAGATCTTTTTGAAAGAAAAGAAGAAAGGAAGCAAGGAAGGAAGGAGGGAGGGAGGAAGGAAGGAAGGAAGGAAGAGAGGGAGGAAGGGGAAGGGAGGATGGAGGGAGGAAAGGGAGGGAGGGAGGATGGGAAGGGAGGGAGGGAAGGAAGGGAGAGAAAAGAAAGAAGAAGAAAAAGAAAGAGAGAGAAAGAAAGAAAAAGAAAGAAAGAGAAGGAAGGAAAGAAAGAGAAAGCAAGCAAGCCCACCCGGGCATGGTGGCTCATGCCTGTAATCCCAGTACTTTGGGAGGCCAAGGCATGTGAATCACCCGAGATCAGAGGTTTGAGATCAGCCTGGCCAACAAAGTGAAATCTCATCTCTACTAAAAATACAAAAATTAGCCAGGCATCGTGGCGGGTGCCTGTAATCCCAGCTACTCAGGAGGCTGAAGCAGGAGAATCACTTGAACCCAGGAGGCAGAGGTTGCAGTGAGCTGAGTTCATACCCCTGCATTTCAGCCTGGGCAACAGAGCAAGACTCCGTCACAGACACACACACACACACACACACACACACACGCACGTTTACTTCACTTTTCTTTTTATTTTTTAAAACAGCTCCTTGTGGAGCAGGGCTAATTCATAAGAAGTATGCACAGAGTTGGCCTTAAAATTTTCGTGTAACAAACTCATCAGGGAGAGGAATGTCTCATTCTCATACTGGAAACACTCCTTGAAGAGGGTGGAGCAGGTAAGTTGCAGGGAGCAGAGGCAAGGATATATGTGGAGTCAAAGAGCTGAGCCGATGTGAGAAAACAGCAGCCCCCACATTCAGAACTGAATCATCTTACTTCAGGATTTCAAGATCTGGGCTTCCCTCCTGTCAGATTTATATAGAGTTCATTTTCCTCTAAACTTCTCCAACCTAGGATGGAATCATAAATATAGTAGTAGTATTATATTACAGCACAGGATACCAATTGCTGTATAGTATTATACTATACTACTACTAACATATTATTATTTGGATGCTATAATAGTAATCATAGCAACAAGTAATATTATGGAGCATTTATGAATGTTGGATACTATGTAAATGTTTTGCATACTGTATTATTTCATCTTCATTCTGAGGTTTGGTTTTTAGCCCCTTATTTTTAGATGAGGAGAATGCATCTTAGAAAAGTTAATTTGTCAGGCTAGGCACGGTGGCTCACGCTTGTAATCCCAGCACTTTGGGAGCCTGCAGCGGGTGGATCACCTGAGGTTTGGAGCTTGAGACCAGCCTGACCAACACGGAGAAATCCCATCTCTACTAAAGATACAAAATTAGCTGGGCGTGGTGGCGCATGCCTGTAATCCCAGCTACTCAGGAGACTGAGGCAGGAGAATTGCTTGGGAGGCAGAGGTGAGCCGAGATCATGCCATTGCACCCCAGCCTGGGCAACAGAGTGAGACTCCGTCTCAAAAAAAAGAAAAGAAAAGAGGGTTCATTGACTCACAGTTCCACATGGCAGGGGAGGCCTCAGGAAACTTACAATCATGGTGGAAGGTGAATGGGAAGCAAGGCACATCTTACATAGTGGCAGAAGAGAGAGCAAAAGAGGAAGTGCCACACTTTTAAACCATCGGATGTCATGAGAACTTACTATCAAGAGAACAGCAAGGGGGAAATTAGCCCCCATGATTCAATCACCTCCCACCAGGCCCCTCCCCTCACATGTGTTACAATTTGACATAAGATTTGGGTAGGGACACAGAACCAAACCATATCAGGTGGGATATTCAGATATGTGAGAGGGGGATAGGGGAAAATAGCCATTCGTGCCTTGCTCTGGCTCAGTGAATCTGTGTTTTTACATAAGAAATGTAGACAACAGGGCAGAGGACACAATCAGATAAGCATTTGTCTCAGGTAGGCACGGGGATGACTTGGAGCTCTGTCCTGCGTCTCCCATCTGTGAAGATAAGGTATCAATTTCCATTGCCATTGTGAACTTAAACAGAAACACTTTAGGGTAAAGACCTTGGGACCCATCAGGAATGTTCTTGTGGGCAAAGTGTGAGGGAGGTATGTAGCTTTTCATCTTTTTAGCCATCTTAGAACCAAAATGGAAGGCAGTTCCAAGCTTGACTTTTCCCTTTGGCTTAGTGAATTTGGAGTCCCAAGATTTATTTTCCTTTCACACCATGTATACTAATTTTAAAAATCTGTGAACAATCTGAATTCTAATGATTGGGTAACAGTTTGCATAATCATAATAAACCAATGCTAGGAAAACTTAAGCAACTATGAAAATAATAATTATGAAAACTATGTAGAAATGTCAGAAATGTTAACAACATTTTAGAAGAAATCAGTATGCAAAAATTACTGGGCTGGGCATGGTGGCTCACACCTGTAATTGCAGCAATTCGTGAGGCTGAGGTGGACAGATTGCTGGAGTTCAAGACCAGTTTAGGCAACATACTGAGACCCTGTCTCTAATTTAAAAAGAAAGAAAGAAAAGAAAAAATTTCTATATACTATAAATACAATTGTGTAAAATATGTGTGTATATGTACAATATCTGGGAGACAGTACATAAAAATAAAAATAAATGTGTTAGTGCATTGCAGCATATGCTTAGGGGTATAGGCTCTAGAACTAAGCAGACTGAATTCAAATCTTATCTCCAACACTTTCTTCTTTGAGCAAATTACTTAATTTTTTTTTTTTTTGAGACAGGGTCTCAGTCTGTCACTCAAGCTGGAGTGTGGTGTGACCTCGGCTCACTGCAGCCTCAACCTTCCAAGCTCAGGTGATTCTCCCGAGTAGCTGAGACTACAGACACACACCACCATGTCCAGCTATTTATTTATTTATTTATTTGTATTTTTTATTAGAGACAGGGTCTCACCATGTTGACCAACCTGGTCTTGAACTCCTGGACTCAAGCCATCTGCCCAAGTCAGCCCCGCAAAAGTGCTGGGTTTACAGGCGTGAGCCACTGAGCCTGGCCTATTTAACTTTGATTGTCTCAATAACTTCATCTGAAGAATGAAAACAAAAAATAGTTTCTTCCTCATGGGACCGTTGTGTTGACTAAATATGATCATGCATGCAAAATCCTCAGTAGAGAATCTGACACAAAAAAGGTACTCATAAATGTTAGCTGTCATATGAAAATTGTTATTTTCTCAAAATCCTGAGATCAAATGATCCCAAATTCCAAAGTACTGGGATTATAGGCATGAGCCACCACTCCTGGCCTGAAAATTATTAGATGCAATTGCAAAAAAATTTTCTCTTCGATTTTTTTTTTTTTTTTTTTAGAGATGGGGGCTCACTATCTCCGCCAAGCTGGTCTCAAACTCCTGGCCTCATGTGATCCTCCCACTTCAGCCTGCCAAAGTGCTGGTTATTACACATGTGAGCCACTGTGCCTAGCCCTACTCCTTCTTAAAAGTGATATAGTCTCACTCTGCCGCCCAGGCCAGAGTGCAGTGGTGTGACCCTAGCTTACTGCTGCCTTCAGCTCCTGGGCTCCAGCCATCCTCCCACCTTAGCCTCCCAAATATCTGGGATACTGGTGCGTGGCACCACAGCCAACTAACTTTTTAAATGTTTTGTGGAGAATTTATACCTGGTACTCTGTCACCCAGGCTGGCCTTGAACTCCTAGAGTCAAGCAATCCTCCCATCTCAGCCTCTCAAAGTTCTGAAATTACAGGAGTGAGCCACTCTGCTTGGCCTAAATATTTAAAACAGAGGAAACTCAATCCAGGGAGCTGGCATAAAGGAGAAGGAAACACTGAGAGGCCACATCAGGGACAGTAAGCCCATCTGGTCATTATTAGCAGCAGGAAGTGGCTACCACCTCCCAGTGGAAGGCACAAAAGGAGGAGTTGGCAACCTTGGAGCTCAGAGGCTGGGTTACCTGACAAGAGCTGGAACCAAAGCAGGCCTGTCCTGAAGGAGCTGGCGCTGCAGGGGCCATGCAGCCTTGGGGAGATGCCAGCCCTCTCCTCCCCTCCCCACTCTCTTGCCATTGCCTCCCTTTGCTGATCCGACCAGAAGCAGCTGTTAAAGGAGTATGGGAAGTCCAGCCCGCAGCACCCTAAAACTGTTAGATAAATAGGCCCCATGAGAGACGGGAGAGAAATAGTTTTCAGGTCAAGCACAGAGAAAAATGGATCATCTCTGAGCAGAAGGCATTACACTAGAAGTCAAATTCTTGGGCAGGTGAGATGCTACAGGATCTAGGGTACAGGTAGAGATTCTCCCTGTCAGGAGAAGGTACACTTTTTCAGTTGTAACTAGAGGTAAGAAGGAAAATATGGGTGTAGAGGCAGATAGACCTATAGATAAAATGTTGAAGAGGAGAAGAGGAGAGTTTCCTTCTGATTCCTCTATTTTTTTTTTTTGAGACAGAGTCTTGCTCTGTTGCCCAGGTTGGAGTGCAGTGGCACAATCTTGGCTCACTGCAATCTTTGCCTCCCAGGTTCAAGAGATTCTTCTGCCTCAGCCTCCAAGTAGCTGGGATTACAGGTGCCTGCCACTATGCCCAGCTAATTTTTGCATTTTTAGTAGAGACAGGGTTTTACCATGTTGGCCAGGCTGGTCTCGAACTCAAGACATTAGGTGATGCATCCTCCTCGGCCTTCCAAAGTGCTGGGATCACAGATGTGAGCCACCACACCTGGCCAATTTTTTTTTAATGACTTATGATTCGATGGCTCTGAGAGTTGAAGTGCATAATGGGGCTTAGCAGAACAAATAAGGCACCTCTGCGTGGAAAAGTGAGCCCGCAGAGGAACTAACTGGCCCGACCAAGACACTGGTTGAGGTTTGCAGGTATAAATGTCAAGGGAAGCTCGTCTAATTCTTGGGAGAATTTCTGTAGAAGTGCTCGTTTTCTGAGCACTAACACAGAAAGGACAGGTGTTTGAATTCTTCTAGGGTTGGAGTATACGCCAGGCAAATATGATGGAGGGAGAGGGGGACAGTGTATTTTCCAGGGATTGACTATAATAATGAGCTATGTGAAGGGTGCTTTGTTTTTTGTTTATTTTTGTTTTGAGGCATTGTCCTGCTCTGTCGCCCAGACTGCAGTGCAGTGGTGCAATCAAGGCTTACTGCGGCCTCAATGTCCCAGGATCCCGGGATCAGAGTGGTTGGGACTACAGGCACTTGCCACCACGTCCAGCTAATTTTGTTTATTTTATTTTTTTGAGACGGAGTTTCACTCATGTTACCCAGGCTGGAGTGCAATGGCGCGATCTCGGCTCACCGCAACCTCCGCCTCCTGGGTTCAGGCAATTCTCCTGCCTCAACCTCCCGAGTAGCTGGGATTACAGGCACGCACCACCATGCCCAGCTAATGTTTTGTATTTTTAGTAGAGATGGGGTTTCACCATGTTGACCAGGATGGTCTCGATCTCTTGACCTCGTGATCCACCCGCCTCGGCCTCCCAAAGTGCTGGGATTACAGGCTTGAGCCACTACGCCCAGCCTAATTTTGTTTATTTATTTATTTTTATAGAGACAAGGGCTCATTATTTTGCCCAGGTGGTCTCAAACCCGCAGACTCAAGCTTTTCCCCCACCTTGGCCTCTCAAAGTGCTGGGTGCCACCGCACCCAGCCCATAGGGCAAGTAGGAGAGACTAGGCGAGAAGGTTCCACCTGCGAGGAGAGAAACTTCTTCTGTTTCCTTAGGTTAGTGTCCCCCACCAAGGGCTTCACATATGCTTGCCAGCTCTCACTTGGCCGTTAGCAATTCATGAAACATTTCTAGTTTAATCACCTTATACTGTGCTAGGGTGCTATTTGTTCCAGGCCGGCGATGTTCTAGTCCCGTGTCGCCTATCTTTCCCAGCTTTTAGGTTACACCTTTCCCTGAATGCTCAGCTCTGATGAATTCAAGAAAAGTTAATTTACTGTTG